GTTAAGTCCAAGTTAGTGTGCCGGTTAACCACACACGCTCCACTAACCGACTTAAACAAAGTGCAAAGTGTAATTTCATGGATTAGCACCTTATTCACATTTTCCTAAGTAACTAAGATTGGGTATTATTAAGAGTTTAGTTACTTAGTATTTATCATTAATACTTTTAATGAAGGGAGAATTATAGTCCTGTCAAACCCGTTCGGCTAACGACCCTCCACCAGTCAAGCAAGCGGTGGGTGAGAGTGGACACCCATTAAGTTGCCATTTTATAGGCAACAACCTTATACCCACCTTATAGACCGGCTTCGTGAATGAGGCGTACTAGCGGTAAGACTGACTTTACTCTTATACATATATATATTATTAACTTATAATATTATAAAGTATAAGGGTTGAATTTTAACTTTTAAAATTCTAAGGGCTAACTTGGAATTAAAGTATTCATAAGAGAAAACTTTACAAATTCCAAAACTTGAGGGCAAGTTTTGAAACTATTCAAAACTAATTAATTCCATAACTTATGTGTTTAAAGTAGTTTTAATCCAAAAACTCTTCAAGTTCCATAACTTATGGAAGACTTTAAACTAATAAAAGAATTAACTTTTCTTTATTTTTATAACTTATGGAATTAATTAAGGTTACATTTTTTTTATTTATTTAATGAAGAGACTCTTGGTCCTCCATAACTTGAGGACAAATTATGGAGTCATAACTCCAATTAATTAGAACTAGACTCTTCATTTTTTTTGTAACCTTTGCCAATTTTATGAGTTTTATGAGTCTTTAATGTGACTCTTCATGTAACTTGAGGACAAGTTACACAAACACATTTTATACTCAACTCTTAGATTAAAATGGATTGAAAACAACTATTTCAATTAACTTTTCTATTAATCTAAGCAACTCATAAGAACAAGATAATTCAAATCAAACTTTTTCATGTAATTAGTCTAACCTTTAAACTAATACAAAACATGAATCTATTGACAACTATCTTTGAAAATGGATTAGCATGAACATTACCACATCAAAAAACAAGTTTATAAGTTCAAAAACAACTTAGGGTAATGTTCCTAGTCCATTTCTAGCCAAAAACCTCGAAAATATGCTGTCTGGGGTCCAACTCGTCGAGTGCATGAACACAACTCGGCGAGTTGGATGCATTTTGCCTTGGACTCGTCGAGTCCCTTCATGGACTCGGCGAGTCTGCTGGGCTGACAACATCAAAACTCGATTTTTCAGCTCCATTGCAAGTATAACAAGAAAACAAGCCTAGGCTCTGATACCACTGTTGGGTTATGAGCATTCTAACACTCCTAAGTGTACATGCAACCCTAAATACCTTGGATCTATGTTTTCTCTATTATACATGCAAATATGAATATCCAAGGTATTATCCTAAACTAGCATACAACTATCAATATAACAAGATAGAATACATACCTCTTTGATGGAGCTTGTCTTCATGAAGCTTGAGTGCCTAGTGCCCCAAGTGTGACACCTCAAATGGTTCACAATCATCAAAACACTTAGAATAACTTAGAGAGAATTCTACACTTCATGAAATCGGCTAGCCCTTTCTTACTCTCACTAGTGGCCGATTTTTCCTCAAGAATAAGATGCTTATATAGTTATACAATTAGGGTAAACCCTAATTGTCATGACTTTCCATTTCCTTGGATCCATGGGTTCAAATACACCATGGAGCATCATATGGGTTTTGGCCCAACTAGATAATCCATGGAGCATTAGCCCACTATACAAGTATGGATGATTTACACAATCAACCCATATATTTAATTAGTCTTCTTTTGATCACTCAATTAATGCTAGATTAATTCTTGATCAATACTAATTAAATAATCTCATTATTCTTATTATTAATATACTAGAACTTATAATATATTAATAACCATAAGTGTCTTACTTCTCTCATTTAGTCTATCCAAGTGCATGATGGTATGCAACCCAAATGGACCATGCCGGGTCGGGTCAAGTCTTACCAATTATAGTTATGGACTTAGACATTAATCCAACAAACCCAGCATGAGGCTAGATAGTTGTGGTTTTTGGCGAAAATTATCGATAAGATATTAAACCTTGAAAGATTGGTTAGATTCAAAATAGATTAAAAACAAGAACACGACAATGGATCAAAATATGCTGAATGATTATAAGTTACCGACTCAGAAGAACTCGATGAATAATTGCTATTGTAGAGGTGTTATTAGGGTTACAAGAATATTACCAAAAGTTAACAAAACACGATGCATGCATGCACCTTAAATATTATAACCCTAGAAATTAATGACTGGTGGACAAGCCCAACCCGATTACAAAATGGACAAAATAAAAGGCCCAAAGACGCAACACAATATCCCAAACAATCTCCCCTTTTGCATCAATTGAGGTGAGAGTCCATCAAGGTTGTGTTTGCTTCTGCACTTCAAAAACTTTTGGAATTACACTCAGCAGAATCTTGCGAACTTGGATGTACCATTGGATCATATCAAAAAAACACTTTTTGTCTCCTTTGTTGTTGCCTTGTATTTGTTGACCATGTCCAAAATATATTCCATGCAGGAGGTGAGGTACAAATGTTTATCAGGTAGAAAGAAACAGGCCTTGTAAAAGTCTGCATCATTTCGTTCTCACGCTTGAAATAACACATACGATCCTTTCTTGTATATCTTTCCTTGCTTTAACTTCTCAAAACCTTATGGGGTTTCTTTGGGGAGAACAGAGCGATTCCTTCGTAGTACCACATCTATTTCCATATCCATTTTACCCACATCTCGAACATACGAAACTATCATCTGTTTGAGGTGAGAAATAATGGGCTCGTACTTTTTTCCGTCTCTCAGTAGTAAATTGTAAAGCATGATCTAGTCATAGGGATTGAGGCAGGGCACGTCAGTGAGAGTGAATTCGTGAACTTGACTAGCAGAACCTTTCACAACCTTGAACTTCGCATTTGGGAAGTTGTCGGTTTCAATTGGTTTCATGTGACCTTCACTGCAGTAATCTTGTTCGCACTCCACGTTTCGTATTGTGGCTTCATATGCTTAAGATAGGAAGAGAAGAGAAAATGATCAGCGCCGCTATTAGTGGAAGGGACATTCGCTACTTTCACAAATCTAGCTGTGAATCATGTGTATTCTGAAGCTTGAATGACACAAATGGTTCTAGCCAATATTGACTCGGTAAATCCACTGCCTCGTTCTGAATTCTTTTTAGAGTCCACTCTGGAATTAAAAGCTTTCAACTTTCCAGTGTGACCTGAGTTTCGCATTCTGCTTTCTCTTTCGCTTTAGCCTCGCAGACTATTCTTTGATGCTCATCCATTTTAGCTTCACATGCTTTTCTTCTTTTGAGCTCGTTTTCATCATACTCTTCATCTTCACTATTGTCAACAATAGGATCTTCAATGATGATTTGTATTTTTCATGCACTGGGTTTTTTATTTATAATTCTTAATTTATCGCATCTAAACCACACCTTACAGGCAGTGAACCCGATCGAGTATAGTATAACTTTGATAAGCAAGGGTGTCGAACACAAGGGGAACGATAGTGAGTTTATTTAAAATATTTGATTATAGGTTACAAAACACACAAAATCAGTAAAGAAATGGTTTATTAAATCTCAGACGAACAATTAATTAACAAATCTCAATAAACTAACAGGGAAACAAATCTCTTTAGGTACTTTGGTTTAGATAAATTACACCTTAAAAGCATAGACAATTGCATACACAAATTCATTTATTCATGTTCACCAATTCCTAAAATGATTAGATTCGTGTTCACTAATACTAATCCTTTAGAAAACAAGTAAATTCAAACAGTGATCAGTTGATTAAACTAACATGCTTCCTAGTGTTCAGTTCGTATCAAGCAAGACCTGTAATAATAGTTAATCAAATTACTAATTCAATTTAACCTCTTGTTGATGATTTATTACACAAGGCTCACACATTAACTTACTTATTTCCGAGTTAATCCTAGTTTCACATTCGTTATTCCAGACATATAATCTTGATGGTCATCAAAATCATAAGAGACAAGCAATCAAGCAGATGTTCATACAACTCAATTTACATGACAATTAACAACAAATAATTATCATTAACACATAAGGATCTTTTAACAAGCTTGTCAAGATAAATTAAACATAAAAAAACAATCCAAAATAGCAATTAATCCAATAATCAAGGTTTCATTCAATCATAAACACAAAGTAAAAGGTTTTTACACCTAAATCAGAAAGTAAACACATAATAGTATCACAGTGGAATGCTAAGCATGGTCACGTTAACAAACCACATGATTACCGACACGTATCCGCTCTCTAATCCTTCCGATATCCGCTCCCGTTAGCTTAACGGCCTTCCGGCCGCCTCCTAGACCCTCAAAACAGCAACTATGAAGTTTTCTTGTTGCACAAGTCGAAGTGGAATATCATAGATTATGAAAATGATGGAATGATATGGGGTATTTATAGTTGAAGGGAGATGGAATTAATATGGAATATTAGAGTTGGATTGGAATGAGGAAACTAATGGTGGCTTAGGGATTAAGCAAATAAAAATAAGGTAAGTGATGCTTGGGGAATAAGTAACTTGGAGGGAATTTCCGTCTAGCTTTTATGCTTCATCTTCAAGGCCGATTTTGGATAAGATAAATGCAAAATTAGCAAAAATGCCCTGTCACATAAGTCGTAGGAAATTACGTCTACTATTCAGAACATTTTGAATCTCGCCAATTGGACTTATGAGTCATCAGATATACCTGAACGACTAAAGAGGGGTCAATCTACCAGCAATATCCTTTTTGCATCTTTTCAGCTCCATTCTCTTCCTTTTGCATTCCAGCTCCCATTTTTACTGTAATTGAATATTTCAAAGCATATTAAGTATCTTTTAGTTCTAAATAACATAAAAACATGGTACAAAATAATAAGAAAACATCATAAATATATGCATAAAATAGACGTTATCAACTGTAAAGTTTTTCTTTGCCTTTAGGCTCAGATTCACTTTTGACAGTGGGCTTGGCTGAAGGTTTGGGGTCTTCCTTCTTGGATTGTGACATACCTTCTCCCCCTTGTTTTGGAACATATATGGATTCCAGATCACCTTCTAGTTGATGAAGCATGGTGAAGACGAGACTTAGTTTCTCAGCTAGATGTTTCTTCACCGTAACTGTAGTCATTGAGTCTCGAGTCTCAATGATATCCGAAAGCATGCCAGTAACATCTGCAATATCGCTTTTCGTAGATGCCTTTTTGAATAACAAATCATTGCTTGTTTCTCATCATTCTCGAGTTTGATGGTCCGGAGTTTCACCATTTCAGTCTTGACAGCAAGAGCATCCATAATTTTGTTCTCCATTGTGAGATCATCTTGAAGCTTAGATATTTGCGAGGAGATGGATGACTGGGACTTGGCATGGTCAGATTTAATACCAGTGACAACCTCTTGAAGTTTCGACTTCTTAGTTTTAAGGGTTGAGCCCAGGCTAGAAATGATTTCGTTAGCCTTTGTAGTGTTGGACTCAAAGGAGCTTTGGAACTTCTCCATGAATACCGTTGCATCAGTAATTAGTTTATCAACTTTTTTGGTCATGTTGTTGCAAACATTGGCAGAAGCATTTATCACCTTGTTCATCTTTTCAAGGTTGGTGGAGTGCTCTTGCGTAAGAGTCTCAAGAAGATACTTGACTGTTGCTTGAGAATAATCATCAGTGGATGATGACTTCGAAGCATGAAGCAGTGAATCCACTTTTTCGTGTATTGCCTTGAGTTTCCCTCTCGTGACGGGAGCTTCGTCATCACTTTCATTCCTAATGTTGAATCAACTGTAGGTGAATCCTACGAAGTCTTCATCATCACCAAAAATCATATCTGGGTCATTTTGGGAAAGAGGTGAAATGGGCGGAGTGGAGTGACCAGTTGCGAAACTTGGTGCTCCTTCCCCCGTATCAAATGCGTTGACAGAAACACGAGGCTCAACAGTTGTTGTTGGTGTGGTGGTGGAATCAGAGAAAATTGGTGTAGGTTGTGAACCACCTAATGAGAGAGGTGGGCATGGGCAATAGAGATTTGTGTGGAAACATTGGCAGTGGGAGAAGGAACAGAGATAGTCTCAACGAAATCAGTGGAGATAGGAAGTCAGAGAGGAAGTTGAACAGTTACCTCAGGATTCGTGGAAATTGGCTGCGAAACCTCAGGTTGTGAAGTTGTTGCAATGTCTTCATTTTGGATAGGCTCATCCCCTTCAATGCGAACGTTTGACTCAATGTCAGATTACGAATGTTCATTTTCACTGGGAGTTGGAGATATGAGCTTGCGATCTACTTTCTTTATCTTTCACTTCTTTTTTGGAGAAGGAGTTGATGTAGATGATCCAGCTTGTGCCTTTCACTTCTTGGGAGCTTTAGCAGGTTCAGACGGACCCTCTTTACCACTTTGTTTCATTTATCCTTTCTTGCATCCTTTCTGCCCTCCTTTCTTTGGTTTGTTGGCTTCAGCAATGATTGATTGCATCTCAGGAGTTAAGGGACAAAACCCTGAAGCTGGAATTGTTCGGTAGCCTTCAAGAAATTTGCTGGCAGCTGGTACATCACGAAGCATGGATTCAGGTATCGAGCCAACAAAAGCGAACTTAGAGTTGTGAGCAAGAATAATGCCAGTAGTGTGAAAGGTTGAAATATTAGCCATCAACGAATCTTGCATAACCAGAATTTGAAGCTTATCGATCGCCCTTTGAACAGTTATAGTCCAGAAGCGTGCACAAGAAATTTCCCTGTGATGAGTAGTAGAATGGGTGCTTTGAATAACGTGTCCCCAGAGAACAACACCACAATCAATGTTGAGCCATGTATAAATCCCATAGATGATCGCCATAAAAAGCTTGCTAGTACAATCCGATCCTGTTACACATTCAGAGAAAGCCTTGGATAATATGGTAAATAGCTCATTCCACTATGGTGGCAAGTTAGGTTTTCTGAACGTTGAAACAACAGTTAGGGTTTCCTTGTACCCTATTTGATAGAACATATCCAAGAAGGCTATGTTGGTGATAGATTCAGGATCAATCATGTCATTTGATTGAGCAAGCCCTAAGACTGAGCAAAAGTGAGATTTGGAGATGGATGTTGTTTTATTGAGAACTTCAAAAGTGATTCTCTGTTTTTCCTTGAGATAACTTGTAGACGAGTAAGCTTTTGACAGAAGAGACATCGGAACGCTTTCTGTCTTAGTCAGAGCAGTAATCAGTGGAAAGTACTTCAGGAATTCAACAACGGGAAAAAGATGATTGTCATGCTTGTAAGGATCAAGATCGATCACCAGGTTTTGATTAGGCTTGATGGCAAGAAGCAGTGATAGCACTGTTTGTTCTTGGATTGAAGGAGTTTTAGATAAACCTGCCATTGATGATTTCTTGAAGAAGAGGATGATGAACAATAGAGAGCTTTTTGATCGCCGAAATTCTTTTAGACTATTTGTGAGTGGTAGAGAGAGATGAAGTGTCAAAAACCCTTTATACCATTGGTTTAGTAAGAAAAATCTAGAGAGAGATTGTATTAGGTACTGAAAAGTTTCCTGTAAAAGTGCAGCTGACAACAGTTACGTCAGAAAGTGCATCAGGTGGCGGTAAAGTAGATGCCCATTCAAATTTTCACGCGCCCATTTGAAATTTTATCCATGAGAAATTGTCGTGTCAGCTTCACCTCTTTCGCAACTTAGCTAGTTATCATCATTCGCATTAAAACTGGGTGAGCTCATTCACATCAGATGATAGATACGCACCTTCGCAACTGTTTTATGATCCAGAGAGTAATTGTGAGTACCACAAACCAGAGTTTGGAAAACCACAAGGATCTTCATGCTAGAGTGTGCCAAAGATTAAGAAATAAATCAACAATATATTATGGGATTCTAGTGATGTCTGATTAGACACGAAATTGTTGGATCTCGGGCATAAATCTCTACCTTCGAAGTCAAGAGAGACTAAGAAGTGTCTGTGCGGTTTCCCGTTGAATTATGATCAGTTTTTTTGATAAGAAACAGTGAAAGGCATCTTTTCTTTAGGCTTAAATGGAGGTTGTATCTTCAACTAAACTCCGTAACTTGATATAAGTACGAACACTCGGATGAAGTACTTGTGTGACCAGTATAGTCAATTGAACAAGTAGCTTTGGAATTATTTTCGTGACTTGGATAAATGTAGAAATCTCAAGAAAAAAAATTGGATCTATTGGGAAGAAATGCCTTAGGTCTAGGGCATTCAATTACGATCTCACAAAAGAAAAAGAGATTTCTTGGTACAGTCCACGAAAGTGGATTTTCGTTAATTCATTGGTGAAAAATCTAGAACATTTAATTGTTCACTGTCAATTCATAAAGGGTGTTGAATTTTGGGTTTCACTCGGTTCATGGTTGAAAGAAACTAAGATCACTAACACAGATGTTATCTAACCGTAAACCTTAGTGGTAATTTCTAAGAGTCTCAAGGGTTATGATCATGAATGCGAAAGTGATGGAGAAATATGGGGATGGTTCCATAGAAATGAATGTACCTCTGCTATGCGAAAGTGACCAAGCAAACAAATCTTAACGCAAAGTGAGAAGAGTAAGGTAGTTCATGATTATGTGAATTTGCAGCCTGATTCGGAAGAAACGATTGGTAGAATCTGTAACAACCCGTCATTTCAACTCATCAAAGATCGAGTCTTGTAACCTCTTTGAAAAAGGGATTAGAATATCATCGAAAAATGAAGTATTCAAAAGCTCTGTTGGGAGTACGCTATGTAGTAAATATCGTCTTAAGGGTTTCAAACATATAAATAATGCAAAAATCCGAGTTATAACGAAGAAGTTATGACCATTCTAAGTTTTACGACAAAAATCGGCGATACGAAGTTACGTAAAAACGCAAAGTTTCAATAAAACACTTTCTGACCTTAGGTGTCTAAATGAAAGTTACAGATATCGTTAAACTAGAAACGTGCATAAAAAGAACGCTCAAATCGGACATCGTATAAAAAAGTTATGAATTTTTAAAGAAATTCCTTAATCACTTCATTTTAATAAATAAATAATAAAAATAATTTCGGAATTTGCCGACGGAATCTAAACGAAAGTTGTAGATCTTAGTCTCACCTACGCGTGGATATAAAGAACGTCGAAAACGGAGTTCGTATGAAGGAGATATGAATTTTTGAAGTTTGATAAATAATTAATATATATTTTTATTCAAAATTATGGTATTATCCGAAGCCTGAGTCACGCAAGTACGCCCAGCGTACTCGAGGCCACGGCCTCAGATCATCCACGTCGCCCCTATGTGAGCCTACCCCCCCCCCCCATCCCATCCGAAGTCCGAGGCAGTCGAGGACTCGGTCATGCGTGACGTACGCGTACGCCCCGCGTACCGAGGCGGTTCCAGCCCCCTATAAAAGGGATGCGAGGGTTCCCGGAAAAATTGCTCATTCTCTCTCTCTTTTCTTGCGTTTTGCCTCTTTTTCCATGCTCGCACTACCCCGAAGCCTTGGTCATTTTGTGCAAGTCCCGAAGGTCGACTTTACTCCCGAGAAATCCCGAGAAAATCCGCTTTTTCAAGCCAAAGTTCCGCTCGATTTTCGTCACACCTTCTTCAAACTATCAAGTGAGTTCATACCCCTTTCAAACACACTTTCAATATATTTTAAATGCTTTTATACTCTATAACGGGGGGGGGGGGGGGGGAATACAAGTAAACATACGATTATTATCGTGTATTTTATAAAGTTTCACTTCATTTGTTGTTATCAAATAAATCAATTGTAATTCCTCACTACTATTGAAAACTCTTGTCATACTTTGCATGCATTAGACTTATACAAAGTATATAGTGATTTCAAAGTACCTTTCGTTGTTAAGTCATTTTATACATTCTAAAAACTTATGATTTTTGCTTTGTCAAACATTGTGAAAAAGGATAAACTTTCCATACAAAACTATCACTTTAATGCGGACTTAGTTGAGAATCCATGAGACGTGTATATCTTCAAACACCACTTTTCTTTATTAGAAAGTAATGCTATGATTTGAAACATATCAATGTTATGATTTGAAAACGGTTATAGTTTGCTTGTATTCCCCCCCCCCCTGAAAACATTGAAAAACACGGAAAAGGGCGTAGGGGTATGAACTCACCGGACGAGAAATGTGGCGATTTCGGATGCTAAACGTTGGTTCGGGGCTTGCAAAAGCACGAGGTTCCTAATTATAATGTAAAGATACACATTTGTATCTAATTAGGACTTAGATTGATTATTTGATTGGGACAATTGCTTCTAGTCGTGAAAACACTCCGATACAAGTGTTTGGAGGGACCCGGGTGACATTTAGGGACACATATAGTTAGGATATTGAATTGGGACATCAAAGGAACACCCCTTAGGGAGTTTACGGCCACAAGACCCATTCCCCATGAGTTTACGGCCGTAAACTCATGGTGTGGTCAATTATGGGCAAAAATGACTTCAAACACTTAGGGGAATTTTTCTAGGTTTGGTTCAAAGTTTTGGAATGGATTTTTAACATCAAAATGACACATTTATGGGATTTTACGGCCTAGCATGGGCTCCTGGCCATAAACTCCTTAATTCTCATGAAAATGGTGTTAAATGGTGTTAAAACAAATCACATGTGATTGCTAAAATTGTTTCATGACCTTACATGCATTTGTATGAAGTTTTGAAGAGGTTTTTGGAGTTTACGGCCAATGAGACCCCTCTCATGGCCGTAAACTCTCTTAGAGAGTGATTTCATGTGTTTTAATGCCAAAAAACTTGTTTGTAAGGACTTCTAAAATTCATTCCAAGGCTTTAGGGTTGGTTTAAGGACATTTTGGCATGTCTTTATGAGTTTATGGCCAAAGGTTATGTGCTTAGGTTGTACACTCCTATATGTAATGTGTTTGATGTGTTTAAGGTCTCCATACCATTTTTAGATGATTCTAGGATTTACCACAAGGTCATTGGTTGAGATTCAAGGCATTTGGACATGTTTAAAGGCACTAAATCCCCCTTTTAGAGGAGTTTACAGCCCAAGCACATGCCTTGGCCGTTTGTCCCCCAAAAATCATGTTTAAAGTGTCCAAATGCTAAAACCAATATTCTACAAGTCATATCTAAGCCTTGTTTGTGATTTGGAAGGGTTTAAGGGCATGAAAACCCCATTTACATGATTTTACGGCCCAAGCTTATGCCTTGGCCATAAACTC